AATTACACACACACACACACATATATATATATATATATATATATATATATATATATATACACACACACACACATATAAGTATATATATATACACACACACACACACACATATATATATATATATATATATATATATATATATATATATATATATATATATATATACAGGATACGAATGATAAATTTTCGTCTAAATTACGCAAAAATGAAAATAACACTGACATCTCATTTTAACAGATATATTTACCAAAATGGCACAAAAATATATTGAAACATACCAGATATAGGTTCTGCAGCAGCCATCCTCTTAACCCAAGGCAGCAGTACCTCCTCAATGCAGTTGATGTAGGCCCCCGTGTTCTGTCTGAGGCCCTGTGGGATGATGAGTGGAGGCATAACGTTACCATTAGTATTCACTCTAAACACCTTCGTAACCACGTAATGCGTTAAAAAACTAAATTTCTTTACATTTTAATCATGTAAGACCCAGCAGCATTAAGTAAAGTACATTGGCAAACAAGGTAAAGTAATGCAAGACAGTAGACATTAAGTTTGAATGTTGAGCATCTCTTATTCCTTTAAGATTTTGCTGTAAACTGTATCCTATATTTATGATATTCATCACTTACCCTATCCCATAATTGTTTCTATTGATTCCGTCAATAGAGTTTGGATTACGGCCACATCAGGATGAAACACTGATTCCCGTACGATCAGAGAAGTAAAGCAAGGTCGAGACTTGTCAGTGCCTAGATGTGTGGCTGCTTGGGAATACTATGTCTTTGTTAATCCGTGAGATGAGTTCCAATATACGTTGGGATCGTTGTATTCCCTTAGGCTATATACACTTGATAAAGGAATTAATCCAACTATTCTTTTTCCCCGCTAAGGGTTAATTAGTGAGACTTATATCACTAAACCATTATAATTTTTTAAAATTCTTAAATCTGAAAATATTTTCTGGCTTTAAATAACCTGTAATGTGTTGATAAGCCGTATAAAATGAATCAATCATTCAATAAAATGTTATTTCGTCTAAAAACGTTCTTTTCATCACAACAAACCTTTGTCTCTTTAATTTATTTATTCGTCAATACCTGCTTAATTTAATTTTATCTTCACGATAGTTATTGGACAGTCATACTTATTATTTTCCAAATAAAATTCTCCTCAATGTTTTTTTTTCTTTTCTTTTTTAACTGATTTAAAAATTCACAGCGAAACGTTTATATGAACTATGACGCTTATGTTATTAGTTGAAAAAAACCTAGCAACCTGACTATTCAAGATGGCACTTGTTTGTGGCATAGGAGAATAGGTCCTCCCTGGAATATACACTCTTTAAAAAGTTTATATTTTAAACAAATTGGCGAGAAGTTTTTCATTACAGCACTGCATGCATGATTTCTAACTTCTTTAGTTTTCTTCTGCAATCATTTTTATTTTTTCAATTCTCTTTCGCTTCGTTTTTGGTTGGAATTACAATCTATCGTATTTTGTTTCTTTCTTTTTGTTTTGTTTTCTTTAGTTTTTTCTTCATGTCATAAACACATGGAAGTCGTCTGAATTCACTTTGTACATTTCCAAAATGGTTTTCATAGCCGATGTAGAAAAGGCACGTAAATGGCGAAAGAGATAAGTTAAAAGAAAAAAAGCTCATGGAAGGAAATTATTAACTAACACGACAAACGATACTTCCTCGTCATATAATCTCAGCGTAAGCATTTTGACGATAATGATTCCATGGCCAACACAAATAAAGACATCTCTTCTGATATTTCATCCAGTAAGAAATAATATTTTAATAGATAGATAGATAGATAGATAGATAGATAGATAGATAGATAGATAGATAGATAGATATGGACAGACTCATATATATATATATATAGAGACAGAGAGAGGGAGATAGATAGATAGATAGATAGATAGATAGATAGATAGATAGATGTAGAGAGACACACACATATATATACATATAAAGAGAGAGAGACAGAGAGAGACCGACATAAAGTTGAACAGACTCATAAATATATACATAGAGAGAGAGAGACAGAGAAAGATAGAGAGATATCTATATATCTATCTCTGTATCTTTCTCTGTAACTTTCTCTGTATCTATCTATCTATCTATATATATATATATATATATATATATATATATATATATATATATATATATATATGTCGATAAATAGAAAAATAGATAATTTTATTTTGCATAGGGACTCTTATATAGAGACCCACTTCTAAACAATCAGACATCTGTTGATATGCACCAGGAAATTTTCATTTCTCAAAATATATCCATCTGAATCGATAGACCTGAACTCAAGTTAAAATGATATATGATAATGCGTCTTAGGTTAAGTTACTTTATTTAACAACATTTCAACCGTTGCTGGGTCGAAATCAGTTCACTTTCAAAGTGATGCCTTTTTTCTCATTACCTTTTTGTAAATTCACAAATGATTACAAATTCTTTAAAGACAAAACATTATAATGAATATTTTTAAATTCAGCCTTTCTATCTATGTAAGTTTTATGGATGAAAGTGGTCTTTGTATTCAAGCAAGGTATATGTCAATATATATTCAAGTAAGGTATATGTCAATATATATGTAAACTGAAATATTCACACATTGTTAGAGTCGCACTTAAGACCCAGACCTGTAACAACATATAAAAATAGCATGTCGTTGACTTTGTGAAGTGGGTCGTTTTGTTGTTTTGTTTGTTTTTTTTTAAATCTGAGTGAGCAGTTGTTTTGAAACTATCTCTGCACGATTGGTAATAATGTAGCGATATCAGTGTATAGCCGATATCTTGTTAAATGGAAACATCTGAGCTGTGAGAAAAATTGTTTCAGATATTTATTAGTTCTGATGATTATCAGCTAGGTGAAATGGCCTTCACAAGGGCCACTGCAAAGGGCCCTGACCAAGTGGGTCACTGAAAGAAACCAGACCTTGATAAATTACTTTTTTAGACAAAGATGACAAGACAAAGAACAATGTTCTCTATAAGACAATGATTACTACCAGTGAGAGACGGAGGGACAAACAGATGGGAAAGAGACCGCCTTGCCGAAGCGCTACAAGGCTAGATTGTACACCTCAACTCGCCTACGCTTCATTTCTGCCTCGCTCGTCTACGGCAGTGGCTTACAAACATATTTTTTTTTAAAAAATGCTTATGTTACAATTTGACCAAAGTGTTATTTTTAAGGCGCAAGCATTTGACAGGAACAAGCTGAGAACTAATCTGGTGGCTGGTCTGAGCTGCAATTCTACAATAAGTTCTTCAGAATGTCATGGACTATGTGTTGCTTGGAAATAATCTTCAGATTAAAGTTTCTTCATTGCAAATTAAGACCCAGACGTGTAACAACGCATAAAAATGTGGTTGCCTGTGTAGTGGTTTTTGTTGTTTTTTTTTATTATTCTAACTGTTGTTTTGAAAATATTTCTTAACGATTACTAATAATGTAGCGATATCATTGTCCACCGATATCTTGTTAAATGGAAAAAATCTAAGCTTTCTCAAATATTGTTTCAGATATTTATTTGTTCTGATGATTAGCTTCCAACCAATAGCTTACTGCTACAATCGGCAGATGATTTTATTTCGTGGGTGACGCTCTGGCCAAAGAGATATTTTTAAGCCACAAGCATTTGACTTGAAGAAGCTGCACTCTGAAAACGAAGCTGGTGTCCGATTTGAGCTAGAACGCAACAATCAGTTCTTCAGAATGTGATGGACCATTTTCTTGCCGGGAAATAAGTTTAACTTAAAAGTTTCCTCATTACAAAATTTTCCTCTCAAAAGACGTCTTTTCTCAGAGCTTACAATATTATGCTACCTTTATATTCTCAACCTGATCAACTTGAAGTAACTTGTAATTCAAATGCCTACAATACGATGTGGACGCGCGGATAGTGTAAGCATTATCGGCGCGGAAAACGAAATTAGTATGCCGAGTTCACTTTCCGATTAGTTCACTTCAGCTCACTTCGCGCTGAAGCACTATTAAACAGTGAGAATCTTTTCCCCTCTAACTATCGGTTTAATAGTATATCTACTAATCTAATACTTTGGTCAGTTATTTTGCGTCTGTTGATAATATACTGCATCGTTTCTCATTTTCTGCATTCGCAACATCATCTTAAAGATTCCTTTTCTGATGAAGACATGTATGTTGCTAATTGCAATTTAAATTTATTTATCAAAACTATTTTGTGGAATTTTTCTTATGTTTCCAATATTATCAGTTGATATTTATTGTTCTTTCTTCTTTGATATCAGTTCTTTGTTAACTTTTGTTCATTGATATCTTTGTTCTTTCATATCAGTTTTTTGTTATCTTTTGTTCTTTGATATCAATTGATATTTATTGTTCTTTGGTCTTTGATATGAGTTCTTTGTTAACTTTTGTTCATTGATATCAGTTGATAATTACTGTCCTGTGATAATAGTTCTTTGTTATCTTTTAATATCTTTCGTTCTTTGATATCAATTGATATTTATTGTTCTTTGATCATTGATATCAATTCTTTGTTATCTTTTGATATTTTTATTCTTTGATATAAGTTGATATTTATTGTTATTTGATCTGTGTTCAACTTTTTCTAATGTAGTGTTCTCGTTACGCATGAAATTTACAAGTTTCACTTTTGGGATTCCATCTTTCTTAAAACACATTTTAATCTGTTTATAATTAAGATTAATATTGATTGATGCATTGATTAATGTTCTATGATTTATCAACGATTTGCAGATTATTTTAAGCCAAAAAAATATTTTTCGATTGTATTTTTTCGGTGGGGGGGGCGATAACAATGGTTATATTAAACCATAACTGATGGAGAATAGATGGATTCAGACGTTTCCCAAGGATATTTGCGCCTAAGTGGATATAACGAACTGAACGAGAATGGCAACTCGGCTCAGCGATTAACAATTCAGATCCATTACCCCACCGGCTCACCCAAGCTTAAAGAACCTGGTATTCTCAAGCGGTGACACATCGAAGTACTGAAAACTCAACGTTGCTTAACTTCGGTGATCGTACAGGAATCGGTGTTGCAACTACATGTGGCCGTAAAAATATGATTAATAGATGGCTACCAATAGCTCTTCAGTTAGCTTTATGTACAATATGGTGGAAAAACCTTGAGTTGGATTTTAAAATCCCTCACAACAAAGATATTTCAAACCTTTTGGATATAGATATGATAAAATTAAAATCGATCGATATAGTTATTATCTAAAAAATACAGTTATTATCTAAAAAATATTAATATTTTGGTAAAACAATTTACTTCCATACTAAAATCAGATACTGTCCAGTTTGAATATATCAATGGTTAATATGAACGACAAAATGTCTCCGAAATTCAGAGAAATTATCAAACATAGTCCTGAAATTATTTAAAGCTGATTTTCGACAACATGAAAAATCTTTTTGTCAAAGATAAATTGTAATCTTTCTTTCAACGCTCGTGTTTCTTCAAAGAACAATTCATATTTTTGTTTCCTCTGGTGGACGTTGATTTTTCGATATTTTCTCTTCTTAGCGAATCCTTTTGCTCACGGAAAAATACATCGAACTGAAAAGAATCGATTGAAAAAAAAAAATGAAATCTCGCGGAAAGAAACTACAGTAAAGCGTACAAAGCTCCAGCGAAAGCGGCAAGATTTATAAAAGAAAATACCTTAGAAAATTATAATCGATTATTATTATTATTATAATCGATTATTATTATTATTATCATTATTATTATAATCGATTATTATTATTATTATTATTATTATTATTATTCAATTTACCGTTATTTTTATTCTTCACTCGGACGTATGGTAGATGCTTGTACGCTTTGAGACAAGATTTCAAATACTTTGGGCCATACACGTAGAAACATGCACATCTAATATTGTATAGCTGCCATTGATTTCACGCAAGGTCATGATTATTTTCATCTTGGTATTTTTCAAGCATTTGCTATTTCTGAATTGCTTCGGGTTCCTTTTTCTCTTTTCAAACCAAATTCGGAAAATATTTCAATTTTACAGGCTTACATGTTTTGCATCCTTCTAAGAAAATGTTCTTTTTAAGATGAGAAGCTTTTGAACAATGAAAATAAAATTTACCATTTTTATAATATTCTTTTTAGAAATGTTCAGTATTCAGAAGAAAATAGGATTATCTTTTTTATGGTGATTTTTTTCCCTTGATGTCGGGGTTTCTTTGCTGGAGCTTCAACTACAACTTAATGATAGCATCAACTTTTTCAAATTCTCAATGTCCCGACTGTGAGCTTGCGAGATGATTATATATATATATATATATATATATATATATATATATATATATATATATATATATATATATATACATGCATATATGTGTGTGTGAGAGAGAGGAAGAGAGAGAGAGACCTGAATTGTACAAGCCCTATGTTCATTTTTTGTTTCCTATTATTTAAAAGTCATTTAAATCTGCAATATGAACAAGATATTTACCCAGAAATACATACATACATTCACACGCTCACAGTCACACACATACATACACACAGACACACTCACGCACAAACACACACACATACATACCTACATACATACCTACATACATACATACATATATATATATATATATATAAATATATATATATATACATACATACATACATAGGGGTTGAGTTACATTCTTCGGTAGTTGTTTTAATACCATTTGGAGTTGAGATTAATTTCGTAGCTATTGTAATATATGGAAGCAGGTAATAACAAACCTTTTTCTTATCCATCTGTGTCTTTTATATTTCTGTCGGGCATACGTATGAATATTAATTTAAACTTCAATACGGAGATAATAGTTTGGTTAGCAAAGTACTGTCCCATCTTAGGACTCTTGGTATGTAGAATTGTAGATTCTTGAAAATATTATGGAATTCTCAGTTAACTCTGGCGCAGTGCTGTGCACTTTATGACCTCGACTAAAAACAAAAAAAGGAATCGGATTAAAACGATAAAGATTCCAGGGATATATCCAGTATTTTAGTAATGCGATGATTTGAGTCATGTACACGCGCAGTGTACAAAAGTCAGTTATTTAGATAGATAGATAGATAGATAGATAGATAGATAGATAGATAGATAGATAGATAGATAGATGCCCTATACGCAAGCTGCTAGTGGCCCGCTGACGGGCCGCTGATTGCAACGCCATTGGTCCTTTGGTGGTAGCCAGCGGGGCACCACCGCTGGACCCCTAGCGGTCCGCCAGTGGTAACACTACCGAAACGAAAACGCCGACAGGGCACCAGCGGTTAACGCTAGTTGCATGCCACCCAGATTGGTGGCTTGCGTGTAGATAGTTATATATATATATATATATATATATATATATATATATATATATATATATATATGATAAGCAAATATAAATGGATATAAATCCGACAGAATGAAGAAAATATCTGGAAAAACAAAACAAAAATCCTTAAAATGCGATTATGTTGTTTTAATATGAATAAAATGTATTCTTAAAAATTTTATAAATTTGATTCCGATGGAAAGATTTTTCATATATACAGTTCGTTAGAAAATCTTTTCTGTTCTTGTAGGAATACGCGGAGATTATCAAATTTATAAAATTTTTAAGAATACGTTGTGAAAGCGTCGCCCATTTGACGACAACGTGACCACGCTCAAACGGAAAGCTGGTCATTTAAAATTTTCATTTATCTGTTTTGGATAAGACTTATTTTTATGCCCATCGTTTTCGTCGTGTTATACTGATTATGTTAATTGTATTTTAATGAATATTGTCCTGAAGAAGGTTATTAAACCGAAACGTCAGATGTCGACATTTCATTCATATTAAAACAACATATTCGTATTTTAAGGTTTTGTTTTTGTTTTTCCAGATATTTTCTTCATATATATATATATATATATATATATATATATATATATATATATATATATATATATATTTAAGTTATAAAGAACTTGGTAATCCGTATGGGTAATCCCAAGGAGGATGAAATCCTGAGAAGCTCAATGTAAATCCAGAGCTAATATTTAAAAAAATACAAACCACTTTAAGATACCATTATAATAATTTATTTCACCAGAGTCCTTTTAAAGGACGCCGGATCATCAGATAGCACTTCCAAAAATGAAATGAAATGAAACGAATATATATATATATATATATATATATATATATATATAATAAGACAGACCAAAAGACAGACAGATATAAAGACAATCTGTTTCAGTGCTTCACGCTATCATATAAACTGTGTACGGAACTGGCTCATCTCCTTCACTCATTAGTAAAAATCATTTTTGAACTCCTTCCATATCCATTACTAAGTTCCACTTGATGAGTGAACTTTTTACCATTAATATTAGTCACTTCATCCAAGATTATATATAGATACAAATACTGATATAAACAGTGTCGATATAGAAATTAACACTGCATGGCATCTCGCAGTTTCCTGCTTTAAGCTATTAGTATACCAAGTCCTACCCTGCTTTGTGTGCAACCTGTACCTAAAGTATATATGAGACTGTCAGTTATCATGTTTTGACTTCTATGTCCATATTTGTTATAGTAACAATCTTTATCTCCGATACTGAGCCTTCTTCTACCATAAATACAGAAATGTTAATAGTAATATTCACCATTTCCTTATAATGAAACATTTGATTTTCATTGATCGATCGGGCAAAGTGCTACTCTCCGTTTAAATTTATAAAATCTTTCTATTAAAAGATATTTTTAATTAAAATTGTTTTTGTTTTTTTTTAATTCCAGTAACTGTTATAGCTCTTTCCAGTATTGGCCGGTTCTTTCTTCCTAAGCTTTTGTTTGAAGTAGTGTGAAACATCGAAATTTTATTGAATGAATAATTTTTGATGGAGTAACATGTGATATCCATTCTAATTGTTACTGATGCTGAAAATCTTGAAGTGAGGTAGTTTCTTTTAATTGATATAGTTCTTTTCTTGGGATCCTGTTGCGTCATTACTAGAGTTTCGAGTAGGTATTAATCGCGTCAAGAGCTACAAGTTTCATTGACTTGAGACCATTTTCACCCATTGACAAAAACAATAGTGATTATTTAACGCGGAATGTTTAAATCAAGTAATATGTTTACACACATATACACGCGAGAAATACCTCCTGTTTTATTGCGTTCACAAATAACTTTCGCTGTGCAAGATGGCGGTATGGCTGAGGAGGTTGTATCTTCTTCTCATTGAACCATAATTTATTTCTACCTTGTTACCGATGCTTACAGACAGGTGCAGAATGACAGAACGTCTGACATGAAATTGCAGACAAAGCAAAGATGTAGAGAAGGCGCGAGTGCTTTCACCTGTTCTAAATGCCGCATAATCTCTACTGGCTTTACAAATATATATTCACAATAAAAGTGGAAGTTCGGAAGATTGAAGGAACGAAAACTATTTTCTCTTTATAGAAATTAGTGCAATTTCGTGAATTTACCAGTATAACTTTCAATATCAACATATATATATATATATATATATATATATATATATATATATATATATATATATATATATATATATATATATATATATATATATATATGTGTGTGTGTGTGTGTGTGTGTGTGTGTGTGTGTACATTAAGAAATGGACAAAGTCCGACAATTTATTAGACATTTTTATGTTTTTCATTCTTTTTTATAGATACAAGTATTTAAGTAAATGCTCTGTTTTATAATAAACAGTATTAAATAACTTTTACCGGCCTTAATGTCCGAGAAATTTTCATAGAAGGCAGGTTCGAATCCTGTCAAAGGACGAATATTTTCTATGAAAATTTCTCGAACATTCAAACCGATAAATGTTATTTAATACTGTTTATTATAAAAACAAATAATTACTTAAATACTTGTATCTATAAAAAAGAATGTTAAACATAAAATGTCTTCTTATATATATATATATATATATATATATATATATATATATATATATATATATATGTATGTATGTATGTATGTATGTATGTGTGTGTGTCTGTGAGCGAGTCAGAGACGGATAGAGAGACAGAGCGTGCGCGTGTGTGTACAAGATATACCTAGACTTAGGCAACTATAAATACATACATTTGTAGACTTAGAAAACATGTTTTTTTAATCGGTATTACCCCAAACAAGGCAGTTCAGCCACGGGTTACAGGGTGTGGAGAAATTAGGAACAGAAATCATTAGTGATGTGTAAAGAAAGTGAAAAGAAACAATCAGTAGGACAGTAGATAGCGAATGACATTGCATTTAAATTTTTGCAGGTTAAAGTTGGCTAGAAAGCATGGAGTCGGGATGGAGTGCCACAAGTGCGTAGAAATTACGACTATATCTAGCCAGATCATCTGTAAATTGATGAGATCTCGACGCCAATCTAGTATCGTGCTTAAATTCATACAGTCTAAGTACCATAGCGAATAGTTCATTCGAACAATTACCATGAAAGTATTTATAAAATGGCACAGAGAGGCAACATTACGGCGGTGGTCAAGTGACTGAAGCCGATCCACTAGATCAGGACCAATAATATTGCTGGCTCTTCTTTGTAATTTATCAAGGAGCTTCAGATAAATAGCAGTGGCACCGGACCATATATGGTATCAATATTCTAAATATGAACAAACGGTAGATTTACAGATATGCAAGATAGATTCCGGGGGAAAAACATTGTCTCGCCCGACACAGTGAACTGACTTTTTAGCAGCTGATTTAACAATTGATTCAATGTAGTCTTTCCACCTCATGTCAGCTGAAAACGATTGCTCGAGAAGGCGCAATGGGTCACTTTTTCGGAGGATAGCATCAGTCATGCTGGTGGAAGGCAGAGAGTGGTCTCTCAGATCATTAATGAAAATAAGTTTAATTTTGGAGGTATTGAAATTGACAAGCCATCTCTAGCCTCAGTTAACGAAGGTCTTGGGTCCGTTTTGTACATCAGCTGCCATTTTGACTTTGTCTGACTGATCAGCCTTGCTATCGAGGCAAGAGTAAATGGTAGTGTCGTCAGCGTCGATGCCATGTTGTCATCGGGAAGGTCGTTAACAAAGATTAAAAACAGAGTAGGACCAAGGATGGAGCCTTGTGGGGGGACACCTTCATTAGTACGAAAGGATGTAGATGAGTAGCGGTTCAGGACAACATCCATTTCACAATTTGATAGGTACGACTGGATCAGCTCAAAAACCTCACTGAAGCTATTGTAACTTTTCAGCTTATGAAGAAGACCTAAATGTCAGACCATGTCAAAGCCTTTGGAGGTGTCTAATGCTACAGCATAATAGACTCTTTCCGCAGTTACAGTACATCAGCAGTTTATCTGGAGAAACGAAGGCCGTATTGCTTGCCTGAGAAAAGGCCCTGTAGTTAGAGATGACGAACCAATTCGGCATTGATTAGAGCCTCCCAAAAAGAGGCTCGATAGTTGAATGGGTCAGACGGTTCATCAGATTTCTTAAAAACTAGAACAACAGACGGACATTTCCAACAAGCAGGAGGTAACGAGGCATTTCTTATACAGTTTAGAGTGAACAGAAGCGCATTTCTTAATGACTATTACAGGGATGCCACCAGGTCCACATGTTTTGGACGGATCAAGGTTGGAGATAATAACAGAAACCATGGAAGGGGTTATATGCATATCACACAACAGAGAATCAGTCCCAAGTGGGAAGATAGGCAGGGGTACTCCAAGTGAGTCAAGAGTAGAGTTTGAGGGGAATTTATATACAAAGCATTCGGTCGTATCAGCAGAGGATAATAATAAATTTTCTCGAAAGCGGTGCCCAACTCCCACTACTATACTATACTTTCGGCAAAATTAAAAAATAAACAACGCGCATGCGCGAAATTAAAATATAAAATGTCGACATTTTAGCCGTCCTTTTTCTCTCTCTCTCTCTCTCTCTCTCTCTCTATCTATCTATCTATCTATATATATATATATATAGAGAAACTTTCTCTCTCTATATATATATATATATATAGAGAGAGAGAGAGAGAGAGATGATTAATTAAAGAACAGATAGAAAATCCTTAAAAAATTTAACAGATGAATCTAAACTGCAATAATTCTGTAGGGCTTTCATCAATATTTCATATACACACGCACACATGCACACACACACACACACACACACACACATATATATATATATATATATATATATATGCACTACAACTCAAATGTTTGAGGCTACCCACTAGTAATTCTTAAATTGACTCAAACGTTGTTGTTTGTACTTTAAATAAGAAAAAATTATTATACATGGCTCAAAAAGTGAAACCTGATTAGAAATTTTAGATTATTAAATTTAAAATAACAGAAATTTTATTGCGACAAAAAATATTTTATGACAAAAAGAAAAAGAAGCATTTTATGATTAAATTCAGCTCTCGTAAAAATAATGAAGAATGAATGGACCGTGTGAGATAGATAGATAGATAGATAGATAGATAGATAGATAGATAGATAGCATGAATTAAACGAAATAGAAAGAAAGAAAGAAAGAAAGAAAGAAAGAAAGAAAGAAAGAAAGAAAGTAAAAAAGAAAGAAAGAAAGACCGGACTGACATAGATAAAGAAAGAGAAAGCGCGCGAGAGAGAGATAGCCTGAGAGTTGAAAATGTTACTTTCAAGAATACTTCATTGCATTCACTTTTGCACAAGGTCCTGCGAAAGATATGTATCCAGCTCTCTCTCTCTCTCTCTCTCTCTCTCCCTCACTCCCTATCTCTCCCTTTCCTGTTTTCTCTCGCCCTCACCCTCACTCGCCCCTAGATATGGATTAAACCCCAGGGTAGTTGGCAACTCACAGAAAAAAAAAATTAAATTGGTGTTCGGAGTCTTCTTGGCACACAGCCCACCAATTCTCTTTTATCAGTCTTTTCGAAAAGTATAGCTCGTTCTATACAAGCCTTCACCATGATAATCAAGTCACATGCGGTTCCGTTCTCAAGCGCAAACTGTTATGTTCTTATACGTCGAAATCGACGGGAATGCTCTCTCTCTCTCTCTCTCTCTCTCTCTCTCTCTCTCTCTCTCTCTCCATATATACCCGTTTGTATTCTGCTTAATGCGTGTGTGCGCACAATGGATGACTTCCAATTGAGATTTTCTTACAATTTTTCGCGTTTTAAACCTGAGAACCTTATGTCAAAAGATGAATCCTTAAGAACATTTACTTCTGCATCTCCGGCTTAACGTGAATCGGATATCGGACATCTGTTAAATAGGCTTGAGTCTTTGTAAAATTCAACGTCATCCATCCAACCGATACATCTGTTCATAAAGCGAATCGAAATCGCCTTTTGGAGAAAAGGAATCATGAATGCTATGCGTGGAATCCCCTCGGGTTAAAAATAAAATGGGTCACTAGAAGTTACGGACAATGTCCTCGGCGTGAGAGACACTACAATACTGGCCTTTCTCTGCTGAGTCATGTCAAGATGCTTTCGACAAATTGCTAAGCAAAGAATGCTTTTCACCGATCGGGCTTTCGATGACGTTATATTTACAAAGAACAAAGGAGACACTCAGCATGAAATTGTCCGTTGCGTTGTTGTTGTAGCCTTCCTTTCTCGTGTTCTTCTTTCATCAGGCTGGTCTACACATCGTTTGTATTGACAGTATTCCTTGCGATTGTACACGTCTTCCTTCTTCTTCTTCTTCTTCTTCTTCTTCTTCTTCTTCTTCTTCTTCTTTATCAGTTAATCTTCTTTTCATTCTATTTCTTTTTTCTTCTTCTTCTTCTTCCTCTTTGTCAGTTAATCTACTCTTCATTCTATTTCTTTTTTCCTTCTTATCATTCTTCCTCTTCTTCTTCCTCTTTGTCATATTAATCACCTTTTTCATTCTGTTTTCCTTCTTAGTTTGATTCTTCATCTTCATCCTCTGTTAATACTTCTTCTTTCGAGTTTTCATTTTAATCTTCATTTCATTCTTTTTCTTTTTTTTGTTCTTCTCTTAATTCTTAATCTTCTTCTTCTTCTTCGTACTCCTCTTTGTCAGTTAATCTTCTCTTTTTATTTTTATTTTCTTCCCTTTTTCATTCTTCTTTTTCTCCTCCTACTTTTAATTCCTCGTCATTTTAATTTCCTCGTCATTCTGTTTCGTTTTTTCTTTTCTTCATTCATCTTCTTCACCTTCTTTGTCATTTTAGTTTTCATTCTTTTTTTCTTATCTTCATTTTTCTTCTTCTACCTCTTTTCTCCAGTTATCTCGAATTCTTCTTTTAAAGCATTTCATTTCCCGTTTATTTTAAAGTATCTTATCTATTTATCTGTTTGCCATAATCCTTCCTTACTATTAATTTCTTTCACTTCTTCTCCTTGTTCTTTTATTATTCAGGGTACCCTCCTCTTTTGCCTTATTCCCGGTGACTGTACACGTCATTCCTGTTCTTCTTCTTTTTTCATTATTCATGTTTAACCACTCCCTTTGATATTCATTCATTCTCTCGTATTGACCAACACCTTTTCTCTTTTTCTCTCCTTTTTGTTCTTCAAGGCTCTTACTCTTTTCCGTTTTCCTTTTTTTTCATTCATTCCCAGTGATTGCACATAACTTTCTTCTTTTTCTTTTATTTTGTTCCTCTTTAGAACTTATTTTCATCAGTCACACTAAAACCTCCTTTTCTTTTCTGTCATCCCATGTGGCTTCACATTTCTTCTTTTTCTTCTTCTCTAGACATCCCTTTTATACAATGCCACATCCATTCCTGTTCGTTTTCTTTTTCTTCTTCTTCTTCTTCTTCTTCTTCTTCAATTCATTATGATTGCTTATTTCGCCATACTTTATATATTCCACCGTCTATTTTTTATATGTATTTTTATAAATTATTTGCATGGTAATAGTGAGATCAACCATAAAATGTTTCCATACATGAAATATTCGGTATGCACTGACCAAACATTTGCCTTCACTTTCGCTTGAAATCATCAAATCTTTTTCTTAAAACACTTTTTACCCAACGTAATGTGGCTTCCTTCTCACTTTTCTATAAATATTTTCATGGCAACTGTTCTGACGAGCTAGTTTCCCTTGTGCCCCGACTGCATGAATTTAAGCGTGCCACTTGGTTGGCAACTCGGTCCCACTCTTTTACTGTTGAAACAGTTAAATGTAACCGCCTCTTCTACTCCAACAGCTTCATCTCTCGCACTTCTCGATAGTGGAACTCTATTTCCTTTTACTTGCTTCCCTGATAAATATAATCTTCAGAAATTTAAATTTAATGCCTGTTGCCTTGATACCCGTTCTTCTTTTTACCCTCATCCGTTTTTCTTTTCATCCTTTCTTCACTCTCCCACTAGACATAGACTTTTCACTGATTTACTCTCTCTGTAGCACCTTGCATACTAGTGGTACTCACGCTTGCTCGGAGTGAATTGCTTTAAAAAAAAAGTTGATGGATATTTTCATCCAAACCTTTTACTTTTACTCATATAAAAAGCTAACAACCTGATTTTGTCTTTATTTTCTCTCCTAGTTACATGTTATTATTGCAAGTGTATTTTTTGTTATTTGGTAATGTTCTTTGTTTATAATTTTTTAGCGTCAATCTATAGTGTCTGATGAAGGATAGTCTTCTTTAAGATTTATAGGATTTATTCATCTAAAACCATTTTAACCAATGTTTCTACGTTTATCCTAAATATTTCCAAAATAACATTGTGATAAGAAAATAAGCATCTCCCATCTCCCCTTTCGCTTGCAACCATCCACCACAATAAAATACATGTTTTTCAGCACTAAAACAGAATCAGTCCTTGTTACTATATTGCAAACATCAAAGGTAGTGTTATATATAGACATTATATATACAGTGTATCTAACGATCAATAGGGAAAACAATGTATTCGAGAACACGATGTCGCACTCCTTCTGAGGTATTTTGCTTTACTACAATAAAATGGCTGAAGGAAGGAATAAACTACCTTCCATATTATTGATGCTCTTACCATGTACACGAATAAAACAATGTCTTCAGCATGTCACCTAAATTTAAAAAACAAAACAATATACATCGAATATCTTAATATAAGGAGTATGTATATATTAAAAAGAAGAGAGAAACCGCAAGCATTTTCGGTTGTAATGTGGATTAGTGTTTAAAAAAATATATTATGCTTTATTTTCCATAATTTTGACATATATATATATTCAAAACTAAGCCATCCACTAGACTTATAAACCCTACTAGACCAGAAATCGGTAGGATTAGTAAGACCATCTTAGAGAGAGTCAGCCATTCCGTAGAGGTCACCCTTGGACTGTTGCAGTGGATTGGCGCAGCTGATGTTGTCGACTGGTTTGACAACGTGCGATATGGAGGTGGGGTGTACGTTCATGCAGTTCGATATTGTCGACTATTGTCCCTCTGTGTCGAGGAGTCTTTTCACCTTGGCCTTGGACTTCGCCCGGGAGTTCTCTGTTGTTTCTGAGAGTGAAGTTGACATTGTCGTAAGTTGCCGAAGTTCTGTTCTGATTTGCAGGGATGGACGGTGGACCAGGGAGTCTTGCGGCAGCAGTTTTGACATTTCTATGGGTTCTTTGGATTCTGCTAAGGCTTCTGGCCTGGTTGGATTATTTCTTTTGTATGGTTTGGGTGCCTTCGATTGTCTGGGTTCGGGTGGTGTGGGATTGTGTGGGGGTGGTGGATTGTTGGTTGTTGGGGGCTCCACTAAAATTTGGGTGGACCGTGTTGGGGGAGTAATCTATGTGGTATTTGGGGATTTAGGTCTTGGGACAATGGTTACTACTGGTGTTGTGGGGGGGGGGATTTTCTGGATGTCTCCCTGGACCTTGCTGGCAGCACTTTCCGGCCGTATGTGAAGGTTAATTCCGGCCCAATGTGCGTGCATCCAGGTTCCAGCCGCCCCTCTTCAGTTGTCGGACACATGCCCTCTTCCATTGGGTTTGGGGTTGGCGCTAACTCTTGTAGCAAGGATGTTTTTAATAAACATCGTGATTTTTGCAGTTCTGCACTCAAGGATGGTGGATGCAGGAATGCCACTGTTCGATATGTGGGCCCTGTTGATTGCAACCATGGTGGGAGGGGAGGATCTAGAGGGATTATTTGGTTCACTCCCCCTTTCAATATTATGGTTAAAACTAAATTAGGGCGTATGTTTCTAGACCTCATCGGGAAACATTTCCCCAGCCCTGAAACTGGCCCACTTAGTAAAATATTTAATCCTAATGCCCTTGAATTGGGCTGTAGTTGTGCTGATAACCTGGGGAGGATGGTTGAAGGGCATAACAACATGGTCTTTGACGGGTATAGGGATTCAGGGGGCTTGACTACTCGGGAGGTTACTGACTGCAATGCTAAATATAGTGGTGCAGATGGCAACATGTGGTTGTGGGAGTCCGAGTGGTTGTCCACTGCAGGGTGGCTGTGGGATTACTTCTGTAGTCTATCTTGGTGCTGTTTCAGCAATTGAAAATCCAAATATAAAGAGGTTTTGCATTGGTGGCACCATGGGGGCATTGAGGGAGTGCTGGCGGGGGCATGTGCGATCCTTTGATCACGGTGGGTGTAGGTGCATGACTTCGTTGTCCAAGTATTTTTGGAATCTAGGGGGGAGGAGCAGGACACCTGCGATTGGGCGGGGTTTGGTTGGGGGAGCTCGAACATGTGGCTCCCTGTGTTGGTTGGAGTGTTTGCGCTGAGGAATGTGTGGGTTTGAGTGTGGGTGTGTTTGTGTGTGTTTTTTTTTTGTATATATGTGTGTGGGGGGTGTATATATGTGTGTGTGTGTATATGTGTATATATATATATAATGTGGGAAGGTGTGGTGGATTAGAAGAGAGAAGGTTGATAGTTGTTGAGGTGTGTGTGTGTGTGCCTATATATGTATGTGTGTATGTGTGTGTATATATGTGTATGTGTGTGTATGTGCGTATGTGTATGTATGTATGTGTGTAAATATGTATATATATATATATATGTATATATGTGTGTGTGTATGTATGTGTGTGTATGTGTGTATGTGTATGTGTGTATATATAAATATGTATGTATGTGTGTGTGTATGAACACCTCGTGGCGGTATGGTGGTTGGCAGGCATGGTTCGCTGGATCAATTGCGACTGGGTGGTGGGTTCGTTCCTCGCTGGGTGCCCCCTAATTTCGGCTTTGTGCCACGATATATTTGTATATATATGTATGTGTGTGTGTATGTGTGTATGTATGTGTATATATATATATCTGTGTGTGTATATATGTATATATCCGTATGTGTCCTATTTTGTTGTGTATGTATATTTATATTTAAGTATATTTCTGTTTGTATGAATGTGTTTATATATTTGTATGTTAGGGTATATGTATATTGGTGTGTGTTGGTATTTGAATGTATATTTGTGTATGTATGTGTTGGCGCGTTTATATATGTGTTTGGTTGAGTGTTGTTGTATTTTTATGTATGCATGTATATATTGGTAGTTGTTATTGTAGATAGATATATTTATATATATGTTTATTTGTGTATATGTATGTGTGTGTGTGTGTGTTTATGTATGTTTGTGGATGTGTATGCGTGTTGGCACCTATTGTGTATGAGTTTGTTTGTGTGTATGTGTGGGTATGGAAACTTTGGTATGTCATGACTGTTTTTATATATGTGAGTATATGTGCATTGAGATGTATGTATATATGTGTGTATTTATGTTTATATGTGTATGTGTGTGCATGTGTTGGTTTGTGTTTGCTGCCGCGTGTGTATATATGTATCTGTGGGTTTCTTTATCCTGTTTTTCTTTGCCTAATATATAATGAAGCTATTATCAACTTATATGATTAAAATATATTTTTATTGATATTCATAGTTTTGGAATTTTCGTTTTAATATATTAAATAATATTATTTTTAACCATTTTTGTCTTTGTATATTTGCTCCCTTAAGTTATAATTTAATGAGTGGTTGGCATTTATTTAATGATGCTTTGGGTCTTGGATGTTTGTTGGTTGTGGTGTCTGATTATCTATGTCATTGTCTGTGGATGTGAGTACATGTATCTATCGGTGTCTGTGTGTGTGTGGAGTGTGTTCACATTTAACTGTATGTGTGTATAGGTGTTGGTTTCCCCGTTTCCTTTTTTCATGGAGGGTTGTGGTGATGTTCCTGTCTCGTCGCCTTTTTTTTTGTGTGTATGTGTGTGTGTGTGTGTGTGTGGGTATCTAAATATGTATGGGTGCTTGTGTGTTATAATCTGATTGTGTTTTTGTTGTTTTGCGCGTGAGTTTGGGACCACATTCACACACTTTGGAATGGGAAATATATATGCGTGTATTGTCAAATGGCCGGATGTGTTGGGGCGTCTTGTCGAACGTGGTTTCAATGAAGAAATGAATTGAGTAGACATATATGTTTTTTTCTTTTCTCAATAATTTTGTAGTTTTTAAACTTAATGGTGATTGGGTTTGGATTTCGAAATTGCCAGTTTTTGGTTTTGATGTTGAATTTTATCATATAATTTTGTGGTTGTTGGTTAGTGTAAATTATGTTTAGTGTTGCACGTGTTTTGGAGATCTGAATAGCTGTTGTAGCATGATTTCGTTGTCAGGCTTTTGGGTCTTTCTGTGCTTGGTTTTTGATTGGTTGTTCTAGCTTTTGCAACAATGTTTCCCCCTAGTGTAGGATCGTTAATTAATCTGAAACTTTTAAAACCATTTATTTTATCTTCAACATCATCACTTGATAAGACACCGAGTGTGTTGAAACAAAATGGCTATTTTTGTAGTGATTTTATAACATACTTATGTTATAA